TCTCTCTCTCTCTCTCTCTCTCTCTCTCTCTCTCTCGGCGCTGCTCGTTACGCGTTATTAAGACGGCGAATCTCAAGTTGCATCTTCCGATAGCTCCGCGCTGATGAATCTTCCCAATTAAGGAGAACAAGATGATACTTTGAACGATTGTTTATTGCTTCTTTCAGAACTCATGGGAATGCATCGGGGGTGCAGAATTGGATTGCACGCTGCGGACGTTCTTAATCAAAGCGTGTTGAATGTTATATTAATCTTTGACACGCCGTTTGAGACTTGGAATAAAATTAAAATTAAAAATAATAAATTATTTCTTTAGTTCGCGGAAAATAGGACGTCACAGCTTGGCACTAACTCGAAATTAAAAAGTCAAAACTGATGAGAGTCAGTTGGCTATCGATACTCTCCCAATTCTTAGAGATTCTTATCGTTTGGCGTTTGTCCAATTTGCAAATCGATACACTGTACACTCACCATATAGATCAGCGTATGTAGCGATTTCCACACCCCTGGCATCCTGGAGGTCCCAGCCTCTCACGACGAAACACCGTCTTGCCCTGCAAAGACAAACGCACTGCTTCGCATTAGTCCGCATTAATTTCACCGTTGTGCGCGAGCTGTTGTGTCGGCGCGCGATACTACACTTGAAACCGGATCTATTTTAATTTATCCGACCACCATGGTCTAGCGAGCAAATTAACCGGGCACCGTCTGCCAGGTTGCGCTTCGAATCCCAAGGAGGTCTCGAGCACAAAATTGATTTGCCGGGAGAAATCATGATTACGAGTATGCGAGTTTCGAGTATGTGAGTGTTTGTGAAATTAGGATAACGTGGCACGGCGCGAAATTTTAAGGAAATAGCAATAATCTCTTGAAAAAGAAATTAGAGCAAACAATAAAATGGCGATAGTGCCTGTCAATAGTACCTATACTAGAGGAGAATGTAGGACATTTGCAGACGAATGAAATGTGTATAGGGATCAATTAAAATAGTACATACTACTTTTATGCTCAATTTTGCTTTGCCAGTTGATATCTTTTGTATTTTGTTATCGAATTGATTTGGTTATCGTGACGATATATTACAATGCAATGTAAAAATCGATATTAAAAATGGTTACAACTGCACTATGTGTGTTTGTAAAGATAAAAGATTAAATGTATGGCTCGTGTAATAGACTTAAACATGACGTATGCAATGAATATCTAGTCTTGCACAATGCAATTCATATGCAATTGTTTGCGCAAAAAGTTACGCCGATATGATAATATCGTCAAAAAAAAGGCTGGACGATATATTTTATTACACACATTATATATATATTTTTATTCTCTTAACTTAGCTAGTGGCACGCGGTTACGCGGATACTGACATAATTTAGTACATCTGCCGTTTAGAAATTTATGTAAGAAACATCTTTGATCTTTACTTTCCTCATTTAAAGATTTTGTGGAGAAAATCAATTATCTTGACAATTGAGTGCAAACAATAGATTACAGATATGTAGATTAGTTAAAGAAAATTCTATAAGAAAAGATTTAATTTTTTTATATCAATACATGGAGAGAATGCGGTAAAAAACTTGTGCGATAAAAAATCGTTATATTTATGAAATTTTTCATTGAAATAGGCATTGAAATTTAATGGCATTGAATTTTTTTCACAACGGATTTTTACGGTTATCGGAATAATGCTGTCACCGAGGGATGTTAGCCATTATAACGGTACGTCAGCATAAAGACACACCGCAGTCTATGTAATTGACCCGGGGATGACAGATGCGGTATGCGACGTGGGATCGTGAATGCATTTCGCTATCGAGAGTATTGCGGCGTATCGCTGTGTAATCGCGGTCGCGATTGCAATGGACACAAAGATAACCGTAGTTATGAATGGGAAATATCAACGTCACGCACGCAGAGTGGCAGTACCATACCAATCTCTTGCTATGCACGCCATTCATGCGTTTACATAGTTGTTAATCGCTACGAGCAGGATCCAATTATGTCCAAATCCTGATTTCCTCGTTACTTCCACTAATAAGAATACTGTTTTAGGAATAGAAAGGTAGAAAGGTTTTAACGACAACTATTTTGCAATATTTTGCTTGATGTGTTGTTCAAGAGTGTCAGTGAGAGAGAACAATACTTTTTCTATATAGAAAACAAAAAAAAAC